ATTTTTAGGGACCCTACAGGCCAGATAGAATGGCTTGGCAGGCCGCATTTTTCCCACCCCTGGCCTAAGCCCTTGTTTCTTCACATAGCAAGTTGGGGAGCATATACAATTGGGGATCATATACAAATAGAGCATGAAAAGATTGATCCTGGTGTCTTGCTTCTTGTGGAAGGACAGGCCCTGGGGCAGCCATGGTGCTCCCTAGAGGCCACCCGAATCCTGTCCATTCTGTCAGTTCTCTGTATAACCTCCTCTGTTTATCTCACCTGCCATGTCTTGTTCTTTCGATATTGTTTGGGAGGCTGCCCGTGAGCCTTACAGTGCTCTCACCAGTGCAGCCTGACTGATCTCTTGTGGTTGTTGGGTCCTCTGCCCATTAGCCAAAAATTGCACAGTTCTCTATGGGTGTCTCTTGTGGCAGACATCCTGGTGCCCGGCTGGCACTATGAGCCAATGGTTACCACCTGTGGCCAGACTGGCCCTTAATCAAGGGCTGTGAGGCTTAAATGTGACCTCCAGCCTCCCCCATAGCCATGCTCACGCCTTATGAGTGTCACTCAGTCACCTTCCTGTATGGGCTTCGGCCTTCCTAGCCTTAGCCTACAGGTTACTTTGGCTGCAGACTGGTAGCCTAGGTCCACTAGCTCTGGCCTGGCCTTTTAGTTTCAGCCTTCCATTGGCCTCTGGCTGCCCTGCGCTCAGGCCCTGGCCCTCTTGGCTTCCAGCCAATCCAGTTGCCTACTCTGGACTCAGGCCCTGGCCCTCTTGGCCTCAGCCTGCTTCTGTCTCATACCCGTATTCCTGGCAGGGCTCAAAACCTGGTGTTCCCCTCCAGCAGCCCTGTGGCCTCTATTGGCCACACCCAGTCCTCCAGTATAAAACTAAAACAAAATCCAAGTAACTGCTTTAAACTGAGACACTCAAAGCTACTGCTCTGGGTCATCAAACCATTGCCAAAGCCACCTTCCCCACTCACTGGCTGTCTCAGCCCTGGAAGTACTCGACGACCTACAGCACCCACTTCTCACCAGCCTGAGCTGGCAGGAAATATTCTTCTTGGAGAATTCAGGGCTGCACTCCCTTTCTGCCTTGGGCAGCCAGGCTTATAGCCCCTGGGCTCCTCCTCTTCCAGTCAGGAGCTCTCTTGATGGGCTGCAGGTATGTCCCTTAACCTGCAAAGCGGCTTACTGCTGTTTCTCTGGCTGAACTGTAGTAGTGCCCTTGCTACTAGCCCCGCAATAGGCACTTGCAGCCTATGCATCCCTGGCTGCCTACTCCCCTGCCGCTAGCCCAGAATTCACCCTCTTCCTCCAACTGGGGACATACTTGCTATGGCTTCTCCCTTAAAGTAATAGGAGTCTCTGGCTCCTCTTACACTCCTCTTCCGCTATAGCTTCTAGTATTTGGAGGCCTAGGAAGTCCTAACTTTGAGCTTGTGAGAGTCTAGTGATAGAATGTTTCTTTCCTCTAAGCTTTTTTTCATTCCAGAAACCAAGTTGGAAATAAAATCATATACTAATTAGAATGAGTAAACTAATGTCTTTTATTTTAAAATGAAAGCCCTAATACAATTACCTTAATATTTTTAGTTCTACATTTTTATGTCTCACTAGTTTTGCTTTCATTTGTTTGTATGTTTAAATATAGGATTTGGTGGTGAGAAGGCTTTGTATTTTTAAAACCTGGAAGCTAAAACATTTCAAACTCATTTGTGTAGGCAGAACAAGCTGCATTTTCCACTTGTGTCAACTAGTGGAAGTGGACTTTGGACTCCCAAAGGCACCACCTGAAGCAGCATCATGATTAAATGTGGTCCAGCAATCATCATATAAAAATTCCGTAGGGGTCACCTGTAGCATCAAAATGTCAGACTGTTCCCATCTATACTAGGCTTCTAGAGTGTAGTTACTAAAATGCTTGGAGCTAGTGAGTATTAAAAAAATACACCTTTTGCCTTTGTGGACAGGCCCTAAAAGCAAAAAGGAATAGCTCAAGAAGGTTTAATTTGTTTCAGAATTCCAGGATTAATTTAGTTTGTTTGCTGTTTGGCATAATGGAGATTTTATCAATGTTCTCTTGAATCTCATAAAGGACTAACAGTCGAGTGCCAGCAGGAGCGATCACAGCAATTGAATAAGGAAAAAGCTCTGCAGACACTGAGGGCTAAACTGTACCAGCAGATCATTGAGAGGAATCAAAGCCAAATGCAGAATGCCAGAAAACTACAGGTGAAAACATGTTTCTGTCACTGAAGTGTATTACTGTGCTGTACGTGGGGGCGGGTTCTGGTTTTGGCAAGTGACCAAAAAGTGCGTGCGCGCGTGTGTACGTGTGCGCGCGCGTGTGTACATACATGGGTGCACATGTGTTTAGGTTAGTTTTCTATAAAGGAGTGCATACCCAAAAGGGAGAATCACATGTTGTAATGCTAAGCAGGGATCTGAGTTTCATGTATGCCAAGGCTAGTTCATGGTGCTCTGACAATGAACAGAGCCTTAACATAGCTTTTGTATAATTACAGTTGTACATCAGCTAAGACAGAGCTTTGTGTAATTAACACCCATGGTATGGTCTCTTTGGCAGGAAGACATTTTTATGTAAATGAGAATTGGGCCCAACAAGTACTGAGATTCACTTTCTAAATTGTTCTAAAATGGAGTCACTGATAGGATTCCATGTGCACGTAAGAAATAAAACCGCTCTTGATATAAACAAATCTTCCTATTTTTCAGCCATCTGACGGGTCATTATTTTTTAACTTCTCCATTGTTCAAAAGCAATAATGAGAGAGGTAGGGATTTCTTAGGGTGATCTCTTTTTTTTTGGATCAATGGTAAGCAAGAATGCAAAACATTCTTCAGTAGATCTGACATTCAAGAGCTTCTCTAATTCTAGAAAACTCTAAATGAGCCACCCATAAGATCAGAGACTTGCAAGGCAAGCCGTACGAGGAAAGGCTGAGGGACTTGGGTCTCTTCAGTCTAAAAAAGAGAAGGCTGAGAGGGGATTTGGTAGTTGCTTACTGCTGTATTGGGGGAATACATCAAGGACTCGGTGAACAACTGGTCACCAGGGCACCCTTGGGGAAAACCAGGAGTAATGGCCACAAACTCCTGGAAGACTGTTTCAGGCTTAACACTAGGAAAAATGTCTTCACAGTCAGGCTGTCCAGACTGGAATAAACTCCCTCCAGAGGTCGTGCAATCACCTATCCTGGAAATCTTCAAGAGGAGACTAGACGGTCACCTTGCTGGGGTCACTTGACCCCAGTTGTTGTTCTTACCTAGTGCAGGGTGGGGCTGGACCCGATGATCTTGCGAGGTCCCTTCCAGCCCCTTACAATCTATGAATCTTTTAATCTATTGTGGGTATGGCAGTCTGTCCCTCCTACTGCAGCTGGGCTGCTGTGCAAAAAGGACGGCAAGTTTAATGACGCCCAAAGAAGACCGCACAACAGGAAACATGTTTCTGCACAATGGTGGTTGCAGCACAGGCCTGGAAAGGGAATGTCTGGGGTGCCAGTCCGTACTCCCACAGCTGCTTATGTACCAGTTTCTCTAACAATTTTCACTATTTCATCCTCCATTGGGGAAAAAAAAAAAAAAAAAAAAAAAAAAAAAAAACAACAACAACTCTAAAAACTTGTACTCAAAATTCAGTTTGGAAACTGAGATTTGCTTGTAACTCCCATCCTTTACCACTAGAGGACTCCAAATGTCAGATGCATTATTTACTCACCTGTGTTCATTTCTCTTAGCCAAGATTTTAACTCCTTTACCAGGTGTCTGTTGTATTATATTCAGTACTGAATGTGCTGCTTCTATGAGTAGTATGCCCACTCTAATTTTCATTAGTGGGACTTGCATCCATACAATCTGATCTAACTAAAACTATGGGAGTCTTCGTGGTCATTGTAAAGGTATTTACTCAGAATGGGAGATTTTAAATTCTGGGGTGGCAACAGCTGGAGAATTTTTTTTTTCCTTTACAGGAGAAAAAATATTTTCTTATTCCCCATAAAGGACCTTTTGAAATGAAATTTTGTGGAAGGAAAGGTTCAGGTAAAAAGGGTTGGTTTGTTTTTTTTGGTTCCCCCATCCCCCATAGGAAATATGAGCATTAGATATTGGTGACTTATAACAGAGACTATCTAACTAGTTTAGCCAGGGCTGCTTTTGCCAGCAAAAACTGCATGTTACACTTTCTTTAGTGATGAAGGGCCAGATATTAAGCTTCTAGGCATCTAAAGATGCACACATGTGCCCAGTGGGATTTTTTTAAACACCTCTCTCTCTGTGTCTAATGCCTGTCTAGACCTTAAGAGCTTAAATGTCTTTTAAAAAACCTGGCTTTGTATGTTTTTGTCAACTTGCCTGTCAGTATCAGTGGGTTTCAGAACAAGCCCCAGACTTTAAACACTTCTGCCCATGGCTGAGTTTACTTACTTATGAGACTACAGATGTATATATTTTTGCAGGATCTCATGCATACATTACTGTTATGCATACATTTTTGCAGGATCAGGCTTGCCATATAAGTATATTATATATACTTTTCTCCAGTGCATGGTTCTACTCAAGTCACATCTTTGCTACCAAGCCCAGGACTGCTGCTGAGGAACAAACCCCATCCACTTGTTCTGCTCTACCAGAGCCAAAACTTAGCAATAGGATGGAGCCTTGTCTAGCTTAGATGGCCCTGACAGTGGGGCTGGAACTATCTGAGTTGGCCATTTGGGAATCCAGTTGCTAGGGAATGAGTAGGCAGATCTGGGAGTGAGCAGGCAGCAATCTTGGGCCTTACATGAAAGAGGTATAGACATGCCCTAAGACTTACTGCAAAATAGTAGCTTTTTGCTCAGGTGACCTAAATCATGGGTAGGCCATGTCAACTGATGTGACCCCTTACTGGGGTCGTTTGACCCTAGTGCTCTTTCCTGCCATGGCAGGGGGTCGGACTAGATGATCTGCTCAGGTCCCTTCCGACCCTAGAGACTATGAAACTATGAGTGCTGATTTAGGCTTTTCAAACTACTTTTGACTCATGTTACCACTCTATAGCCAGTACAGAAAAGTTGAGCTGGAGGCTGTCTGTAAACTTGGTCTGTAGTATAAACAGAATTTTGACAGAAAGAATAGGCCTGAATCCAGCAAATTATCTATGAGGCTGTAAATGCAGTATTGAAGGCACAAAAAAGGTTGATCCATTGGAGTCTAACTCAAAACGTTTGTCTGCTGGTTTTAAAGGATTTTAAATTTTAAAACTCAAGAAATAATATAAGTTGTCATTGCACAGTTGGAGACAAGAGCCCAGTCAGAGAGAATTCGTACCTATAACTTCACACAGGATAGAGTCACTGACCACAGGATCTCATATGACGTCCGAAATATAAAGGTATTTTTTATTATAATTTATGTAAAACCTTTCAAAGATAAACCTGTGTGCACATACAGAAATTTTTATGGAGAAAGCTAAATGTAAACTTGTGAAAGTGATTAATAAATAGGTCAAGAAGACATGATAAATTATAAGCTATTGTTCTAGTCTGAGAAAGCTTAAATGTTTTCAGAACTTGTGGTAAACATTATATTATAAAATTATACGATTAAAGGGGGACAAAAACCTCATGCAAATGATATTCCAGAAACTTCCTATTTCTTGATTGATTGGCATTCTAAGAATACTATTGTAGTTACTCAGATCTTAAGTTGACCCTGAATTTAAGAAGGTGTCTCCCCAATAATTGTATTCAATATATGGAAAAATTATGAATGTTTTAATTTTCCAGGTATAGAATCTCAATTATTGGAGGACTGTCTTGAATTTGTCCCCCTCCCATCCCCAGGAGGGTCAGGTGGATGGGGTCAGTTGGCCCTCTTGCCCTCTGCCTAGCCTCCACTTTTTCCCTTTTGCAGCCTTCCTGCTCCCCTGGCAATGGCACCCTCCCCTTCCCCAGCTTTCCATAGCCTCTGTCCCTCCCTCCTCCCTTACAGTGAGACACTGCAAGGGCTATCCTGAAGCACAACATGTGGAAGCTCAGCCCTTGCCAGGCCAGGCAGACAATGCAGCTGCTGATCTGCTGGGCAGGGGAGAGTTTCCATGTGCTCTGTGTCCAGGAGGAAATCCAGCCTGAACCAGAGCTGAGCCATGCCTGACAATAAGGAGGGGAAAATGGGTTGGAGTTGGTGGCAGAGGTGCAGAGAAAGGCGGAGGCAGGGGCAGGAGGCGGCTGTGGCTCTGATTCTGGCCCTGACCTGGACTCAGGGCCAGAGTCAAAATCACAGCAGCTAGCTCCCTCCTCCCTCCCCCTTTGTACATGAATCTAAAACAAGGGGCTTTTAATCCTATGCTGATTAGAGAAAGAAATCTAATTTAAGATTTGATTAGATATGGTATTTTTCTGTATTGTTCACAAATATATTATTAAGTGTGGGGGGGGGGCAAAAACCACAGATCTAACTTTGTTTATACAGTACTTTTTCCTGTTGCAAGAAGGACAGATGAAGCACATAATTCTTTCTTGAGAACTTCAGGAAAAGTGAGGAGGGGAGTGACATTCCTGATATTTGTAGGGTAAAAAGCAAGTAGAAAAGTTTATTTTGAAAAAAATCTTTCAAGATCTTTGTTATGAATGAAAGGCAAAAGGACAAATATCAATTTTTTGACCTTCCAAATCACCTTAGAAAGTTTTATTTCCATTTTCTTTCAAATGATAAATTATATTCTGATTAAAATTCTACATGCAATTAATTTTTCCTTTGAACATGTGCAACATGAGGACAGTGTTACTACATATTGGGTGTGTCTATACATGCATTTACTTTAACCTAGGTTTATTATGCAGTAAGACACTGCTGAGTAAGGGTTTTGGGGTAGGTGTTTACACATGTGGGGATTAAGGAGTAGATTTGCACCCAGGCCCTTGCAGCCCTGCAGTGGGCTCCTGCTGCCACTGGGGAGAGCTCTAGGCTCCCCCTTGGTGCTAGCTGAGGGGCTGCCTGTTGCTGGGGTGGGGACAATGTCCCCCTGTCCTGGCAGCAGGGAGCTCCTGGCCCTGGCTTCCTGATCAGGGGCACAGGGCTTGGAAAGAGCTGCAGGGGAGAGGCAGGTCCTAGCCCCCTGCCCTGATCTGCTGCTGGGGCAGGTAGCAGCTAGGACAGTCCCCAGCCACCTCCAGGCTGTACAGCTTCCCTGCACAGGGCTGGCTGGGAACTTTTGCATCAGTTAAATGTTTGAGTGAGTTTTGGATCAACTGGCTTGAAGAGTGAGTTTGGTTTTGCATTTTAAGGTTTGTCTTCACTTTTGTAGTGTAAGTTTTAAGATTTACAGTAGCTATCATCATGGAGCAGATAGTGTTTATTTACTTGTGCCTAACAGTTGTCTTGGCAACCAAGAGAACTCAGAGGAGTACAGTGAGTGCTGGAGCGTTTACAGACTACCTTAAAACATGACATGGGAGTGAGGGTAATTACAAATATCAGAAGAATGTGGGGGAAGAAGAGTAAGGCTGGGTTCTGTAAACAAGATTGCCCAGTAAGATGTATTGCTTGATTACCAAGTTGTCCTTTTATTTATTTGGGGTCAGATTTTGGTACCCTTCTTATGGATTTAAGCTACTACTCAGTATGAATAAAGATACTGAGTTGGTCGTTTCTTATGTATTACCATAACCTACCTCTCCATCAGTTCTTACTAGATTAGTTCACTATTTCTGGCAGTGGGGTTTGAAAGAGGCAATAATGAAGGCCTGGCAAAATGATGTTACTCACTCCTTTTGTTAGTGCCAAGAGGAGGCTGTGTGAACTTGTGGTATTTTTTCAGTCATCTGCCAAAAGCAGGCAGCTGTATACCTCTCCATGCTAATTTTACGCCAGGGGAGTAATGCAAAAATGTCAAGCTGATGCATAAAGATCCAACGCCATGCACATTATATTCCAGGAATTTCTTATTTTTTGAATGATAAGGATTATAGAAATATTATTGTTCTCTGCTAATCATGATACTTCCTTCTTTTTATAGGAATTTCTGCTTGGTGAAGAGGCCCTGGATGAACTAATCAACAGGTTGTTGGAGTCTGCAGAGATGGAGGCACTGATTAAACATGTAGAAAATTTTAAATCTTTTGAAGAAGGAGGTTAATGTGGATGTTGCATTAAAATTATGATTGTAATTGTGTAGTTAAATAAAACGGAGGCATTTTTTTAGACATCAAGAATTGAAAAAAATCTGTGGTATTCTTCTGTGATCATGTAACAGGATTTTTGTTAAACTCTATGTGGCTTTTGGAATTCCTGGCCCACCCTGGCATGTCAAATTTTAAGTCTTTTTTGTTTGTTTATTTTTTGGACATTGCCCATCTATCAGCCTGTAGTTCTCAATATAGACACAGCACAGGCAGTGCAGGCTTTCCTGTTTTTCCATCAGTGTACCTTAAATCTTGATGTGAGAAACAGGAAGAGAGCACTCATTTTGATGTCCTTGGCCCCTTTCTGAGTTAAAATTCTGATGCCATTTAGGTGGGGAACAAATACAGCCTGCAGGAACTGGTTTTAGATTGCTAATGGTCATCAGATGGTAACAACTTTCAGTCACTGGAGCTGGATTAGTTTGGAACTGGTCGGCTACATGTTCTGTTCCATCAGTTCCCTTAAATTTATTTTGTAATAAAGTCGAATACTAGACTATTCACTCCTGCCTTAGAACTCATAGCAGGAGCTAAGACTGGAAACTTATGTGTAGATACAGTTGCAGAGATCTCCCTCTCAGAAAAGGCTGCCACCTGAGCTCGGAAGATCCCCAGGGGGGATCAGTGCAAATGAGAAAGAGGTTTCTCATTACTTTGCACATCTCAGTGCAGATCTAACCCAAAGCTGGTGCAGGCAAGTACACAAGCTACCTTGGGTTAGATCTGCACTGCATACTGAATCAAGGTCTAACTGTTGACATAGGTGTTCCCCACTCATCCTTCCATTCCCAAAATGAAGTATTAAACCTTACTTATGCAGTCTTTTAAATCCCTAGACTCAAACTGGACAATTTAACTTTTAATTCACATTATAACAGAATTGATTTATTATTAAATTACATTTTTATAAAGTGTTCATGTTGCTGGAGGAGATACAAGATCAAGAAAATGCCAACCTATTTTAACAAAGAAAATTGTTGTGTAGAAACACTGTGCTGTTTTCTCACACATTTAGACTTCCCATACTGACATAATCTTCAGTTTGTACATCCAATTGATTTGTTTATGTGCACACATATATGTACCAAATTTTTGCATATATGCCCTGTAATGTAGTATGCACCTTGTTTTTGAAAAGCAGAATGAAGAAAAAAGATCTTTTTTGTAGTAAGAGTAGCAGCACCTAGAGAGCAGAGCCTGCTTATCGTTTTGCTCCGTGAGTTGTGTGCAGATTTTACTTTCACTTTTGCCCATAACCAGCAGAAACTGTTCTATTTCCCACATATAATTTGCACTGCAATATTCAGCAGCTGTTTTCCAGGGGCAAGTGCATGTTGTATGTGGGAAAATATGTGAGTAAACACACATAAGTAACAAGTTTGAGTCTAAATGCTTCCAAGTATATTTTAAAAAATAGAACATTTATGCTATAATTTTCTATAGGGCCTGTCAAGATGGGCCAATGGTGGAAAAAGAATTCACTCAGTTCTGGTTTTTTAATTTAGAATCACTTTTTAATTCTTTCATGTTCGCACCTTTCCTTCCTTTTCATAAGAAAAGAATATTAGCAGAATGTGCCTGTAGCCAATATTATTTGATCACACAAGACACATTTCACAAGAAGACTAAATTAGGTTTAGGTTGGGTAACCCAACTACATAAATTTCCACGAGCCAAAGAACACAAGTAACACCATGCAATTTTGGTAATTCATCACAACTCAAATAATGAATTTTGAATATTCTGTACTCTTAAGTCCATAGGGAAAAGTATATCCTGAGAAGAAAAATAAATATCAAATACATAGTTCATTAACTAATAAGTAAATAACTGACAAGTTCATAATAACTAATTGGCCTCTAGTTTGTGTGCTAAATCATCGCGCTCTTTTAGCTTGTGTGCATGAGGCTTCAAAATCAATAATACGCAGATCAAATTATTTCACCAATTAATTACATAGCTTGAACCACCTAAAAGGATTTCTTATAAGTGGGCATTTCAACATAATTACATTTTGGATCCAGGATTAATTAATGTTCATCAAGTGCTCAAATATTAAAAGTTCTATAGAAGTATGAAAATAAGCCTCACTTCTAGTTGTGTAAATGAAAGAGCGTGTTTTGACAGGTGGACCTTAGGGATACTTGCGACTAAGTTCATTAATTTTCTTAAGCCCTTCTTTGTTGTTGATGGTTTTGTGCACAGTGATGAGAAAGGGGAAAGCAGAAGGGAGCTCCACTCTTCTACTTAATTTCTGATGTCCCCAGTGTAGGCACCGAAGTTTATCAGCCAGGTCTTTTCTTCCAGCTCGTTCCAGGGCATCCTGAAGGATCTTGGTTTTGTTAATTTTATCCCAGGCTCGTTCATACCTGCATTTGTAACATCAAGCGTTACAACACCATGTTTAACCAATTATTATATTGCCAGATTTTGAACTGAATCATCTCAAGTGGTACTTGAAGAAGTATACCAACTGGTATGCCATATTTAAAAAAAAGCCAAGTATTTTCTCTCCCCAAAAGACAAGATACTCTTTCAGACCCTGACTTCTTTCTGACTTCTACGCTCCTACAGAGGACTGTGAAGGAGCATGGGTTAACCTTTGGGGATGTATTTATACTAGGAAAATTCCTCTCTGGTGGGGCTGCACCACTTGTAGTCTTAGTATCCCTAGGCACCTTTTTCAAAGTAGGATACTCTGCACTTCAGCTCTTCAGTTCATACTTAAGTATACAAACCCAGGTTTGGCTTTCTGTACTACCAAGTACAGACTTCTGCAGACATTGCTGGATGTTCATCACTTTTAAAAATCAAAATGACCAAAATACAGTCCTTGGATGGCTTGAGCCTAATGAAGACCTGATGATATTAATGACAAAACTTAATACCAAAGGAAGGAAATATTGCTACCATGAAAACACACTGTGGAAACAGTAGAATGAAGTAAAGCCCTTTGGTTTAATGGGTACAGTAATACTAGCCACTTATGATGCCTGTGGGTACTGTGAGCAGCTACTGAGATCATGCAAATGGCACAAACCATTTGTCAAATCATGGTAATTTCAGTATCAAAGGCACTTCCTGAAATTGAGCCTGTATGGGACTTCCTCCTGTGGGCTCAGCCTGTAAACACCTATGGCTGATTACATGGAAAAGCAGTGTCCAGGCTGAAGCAATTAAGCAACTTCTTCCTCCTTGTTTGGCAGCTCCTTAATCCCCTGTTTGTGCCACAGACTTAAGTGGACTCTGCTGCACACTGTGGAAAGTTTTGTGGGCAGGACTTGGTGTGCTTCTGCACTCAAAATCATCCCTTCTACAGAGCGAAATAAAGCTTCTCTGCCACTTGGCAGCCAGCAGATAGCCTTGAAGGAGCAGTAGACCACTGGGCACATCGTCCAATTGTCTGCTTGCCAGATAGATTTTAATCCAGGCCTGGTACTTTGGCATGATAAAAGTAACCTTTACTAGCTAATCTTCCTATTTTTAACTCCTGGCAATTCATACAGTTCTTGCTTTAGACAATAATCCAACTTTCCTTGGAACTGTGAGACCTAAAAACCTGTTTCTGGGGCCTCTGGTGCTAGTTTTTGAATTGTTTATCCTGCTGGTGCCTTTCAGGTTCCAAGTGCACCAAAATAAAGTTGGTCATGTATTAAACATCTGTCCACGTTTATCCTTTTCCTCATTTACTTTATTTCCTATTCCTCTCTTCTCCCTCTGTGCCTCTTTCTTTTTCCTCCATATTTGAAAGCTCTGACAGGTCACTGTTTTTGTGTACCAGCAGAAAAGGCTGTGTTGGGTTTGCAGCCAGCTGTGAGCACTCTCTCTCAGCAGGACAGTTACATGCCCTCTCTTCTTCTCATGCCCAAGATTCCAAGAACTGCAACTGTGGCTAAATAATCCTCCCACCCTGCTTTGTCACTCATGCAAGAACCGGATATGAGCTAGCTCGCTGCAATTGAATTAATGCAATCTATGAAGTGAAGCTGAGCATTCAACATTACAGAGGGATTCAGGAAAATTCCATTTAGAAAAAGGGTTATTCCAGTGAATAAATCTCATTTATTTTACCATCTCTATGTAAGATCCACCAAGTTACATTGTGCAGCTGGTTGATAAGATGGATCAGACCAATCTTTGACAAGCTGTAACCAGGGATATGAACAGGCAATATATAGCCTACTTGCATACAGATGTTCAAAGAGTTTTTCACAGGACAGAACTAGCTCTGTGCAAAAAAAGCACTTCCCACTAGGAAGATCTGTCTTTCCTTTATTCTACCATGACCAACTGTATGTTCACTTCTCTCAATACCGGGCTGGCCTCAGTATCCCATAGTACTTCACTTTCCCTTTCCCTCCCAGAATTTTGCAGTGCTTGAATTGAACACCTATCTACACCCAAAATCACTATAGCTTGGCCGATAACTACATCATCCACAGGCGTTTAAGAATAAAAAGCCTCAAGATACTGTATTGAGCACATTTATATTTTTAATCTCTTTTGGGTTCCCTGTTATTTTAGGCATGTTACCTGCTATTGGGCACCTATATGCACATTGAGGATGCTAGGGAAATGTAGAGAAGAGAATAATAAGTACATGATTTAAAGAGAGAAAGTTGCTCATGATATACACAATTCATAATGATCTTATCTGCTCTTAGAAAACACATCCATCTCATCTTCTTGCATGTTTGACATTTTGCTACTAAAATACTGGCTTAAACTTTAATGAACATGGTGACAGAGTGGTGTATGTCTGTTTCACATTTTGAACTCCACTTTTTATTTGTTGCATATATCTAGACCCCACCGAGGGCAGCCTACTGGAATTCGTTCAGGACAACTGTCTTACTCAAGAAGGGTATCACTAAGAATCCACAAAAGCTTCAGTCTAAGGCTACTGATTTTGATTATTCCCCACCCCTTTTTTTCCCCAAAATGGCTTGTAGGAAGGGCGAGTTCCCAGTGGAATGCATGACTGGAGAACACAACAACATAGGAGCAGCTTCCTGTGGGTAAGGGCCGATCATTATTACATTCAAGAAAGACTTGAAGGAGAGGGCAGGAATGACGCTGCTCAGCCTGACAAGGTTCTTTGTGTAGATGTAATATCTTTTATTAGACCAACTAATTTATTCATTTATTAATGATGTATTATAATTTATCTAATAATTTTATTAATGTATTAGACCAACTAATATCACATGTATCCAAAGAACCTTGTCTGCCCATGTCCTTAGACCAATCAATTGCTTGTTTATAACACATTACTCAGCCTGAAAACCTCAGCTTTGTGGCAGGTGACAGCAGACTAGAGGTGAGCATTTCTCAGGATTCAAGTGATTTTCAAAGTAAAGTGTGTGTAGTTAAGAATTTCTTTTGCTGGGGCCAAGTTTCTTTCTTTCCTGTCACGTTGTGCTAAAAGGGTGAGACTAGCAGCCAAAAGCAGCCATAGCCTAGCACATGTAAGTGGTTTGAAGAAAAGCTGGGAAATCTCTGTCACTGGTTTGGGGGTCTACGGTGGCAATGTCCCACATGCCAAAGGACGTCACACAAGAAATCTCAGCTTGGGAGAATGTCTTGATATCACAGAGCTAGAAACAGTTCCTACCCAGTTCCTAGCTTGGTAGTATATGGGACCCAGTGACTGAGTTAGCTTGAAGAATGGTTTTCTATGCAGCAGTATACTGGGAAGGCTGCAACAAATACCAGGTAAACATTCACTGGAGAAGAAGATAATCCTGTTAAACACAGTCATATAGGTCAGAGCTGTCTTCCCTTGGAGTGTAAAACAACAAATGAAACTAATTTATTGCGGAACTGCACTTTTTTCTCACTTCAAGCAACTTACCAGCATTCCAGCATTTTCTGTGCTTGTATCTTCTTTTCTACGGTAGCTAAATGAAACTGGCTTATTTCTGCTCTGCTGAATCCTAACTCGTTAGCAACAATCGTCCATTCAAAACCCAGTTGCTTGCCCAGTTCTCTGACGGATTTCAGGTTAATCACAGCATCCTGGTAATCAAACAAACTCATATTTATTTATGGCAAATATGTATTACAACAGCAAAACAATAGATCACCTTATTGTTATAGGCACATTTCCTAGCACAATGTAGGGTCAGGAAATTTGGCATGCCGCTGTCCTCTGCTTTCAAATCCCACCCCCCTGCAAGATGCATTTGGGACCAAGCCATGCTCCCTCTCCCCGCAACCTGTGTGGGTCAGGGCCAGCCCACACCCCCTTCCCTCCTCTCCCTGCAGGGCCAGGCTGGGCCACACTTCCTTCCCTCCTACAGAGCCAGGGCAGAGTAGGCCATGCCTCCTTTTGCCTTCTGTGGGGCAAAAAGATTGGGCTCCACTGTTTTAAAGGGAAGCTGCAGCAGGCTAAGCATGCTGTGTGGGGCTGGCAGCTGGGCAAAAGCTAGCTGCTATGAAGCAAGCAGGCCAGAAGCAACAGGGACAGAAGCTAACTGTGGAGAGTGACTATCCAGGAGCTAGCTGCCCCATGGTAAGCAGCTAAGGGGCAGACATGTAGGCAGCCCAGAAGTAGAATCTGCAAGCAGGTGGGCTAAGCTGCAGCAAAGGAGAGCAGGCTGGCTACCAGGTCAAAGTGGAAACCTCTGTGGGTGGCTGGAGAGCCACTTGACAGGAAGACGTGGGGCTCTGGAGTCACATAAGGCTAGTGGCTAAAACCAGGTGTGGCCCAGCAGGTTGCAGGGAGAGGAGCTTCTGAGCAAGATGGCTGCAAGAGATGGACTGACTGGCACCCAAGCTATCCCAGAATGCTGCAAGGAAGGAGCTGAAGGCAGCTTATAGCTTACAGAAAAGTAATGACTCAGTGTGGGAAGAAGTTTGTTGTACAGCCATTGTATTTGTGTTTATGTTCTAATTAGGCTAACTGCAGGACCGGATTATGGCTACAGGGGAGGTGTGGAGACCATGAAAGGCACTCAGTATCAGGCAGCCTCACCTGGGGTCAGGGCCCCAGGGGGCTAAGGCTGGTGTAATAAGATTGGCCTTAGCCCTTTCCACTTCAGCCTGTATCTGGCAGCCTACCCTGGGGTTGGGGACCCAGAGGGCTGTGAATAAACTAAAGCCCCCAAGCCTGGGTCAGGGACCCTGGAAGGCTAGCAGAGGGGGGTGGAGAACTAAAGCTGCAGCAGTGAGACAAAACCCATAGGAGGCATGTGAGGGCCAAAGCCTGGTGGAAGGGGAGGAAGCTAAGCCAGGGGCTCAGGTAAAGAAGAGACTTGCCAGGGCCTGGGGTTTGCCAGACTGATGGGAGTGTTTGATGGATAGACCAGAGGTCCCAGTGGACAACTTCTAGTAACATCTGAGGCATGGACGCGGCTACAGGGGTGGAAGGAGGCCATGAATAGCCCATAAGCCAACTGGTGACTTGAAGCACTAATAGGGCCCAGGAGGGCCACTGTGTAGTGTCCGAGAGGCAAGGCGGAGCTAGACTGGGCTTGCTCTGGGAGCAGCTTCCAAAAACCTTATAAATAACATCTAGATGTGGCAGGCAAGGTAGAAAGGGAGGGTACCCTGGTGAGCTGGAGTAGGGGCCAGGGCGAGAGGCCACCAGGGGGTGTCATGGTGCCCTGATCTTGTCACAATCCCTGATTGCATGAGGTCAGAATACAAGCTATAGCAATACTGAAGGAGAAAATGCACGTGCATGAAATATATGCATGCTAAAGTACATGAATGCCACATGCAGAGGTGTGATAAGTATAGGAAACTGTGGAACCAACCAATAAACTGCATTTATCCCACATCTTTTTGAGTACCTATCCTTTAAGCCAGTAGTCTCCAATCTTTGCTAGTTTCTGGGCAGCATTGAGCAAGTAAAATACTGTGGGCAACAATGCATCAGTCTCATCTTTTAACTTTTCAATTTCCTCTGGCCACAAGCAACTTCAAAGGCTCTCAAGGGCAACATAGGTTAGATGGGATGCACTTCTGCACTCACCTCATTCTGGACTCTACCAAGTTAAACTGCCTGCTACACAGGACATTTATATGAACCCAGATCTCATTTTCTTTCCCTTGACCAAGCTTCATATTCTGAGGTAGGAGTCAGAGGCTGGCTCTTTGCCATGGGAGTACTCCTGTCTCTTGTATTGGGGTTATCTTCCCCTAAGACCTATAATGCTGATCTTGTTTGTGTTTCTTCTTAGAATGAAGCTCTTTTAGAGAAAGGGCTTTCTCTTCATATCTTTACATTACCTACTTACCCGTTGGATGTTAGTATACTATAAATAAGTAAAAAACAACTTTCAGTACAGTATCAGGTTTGTTTGCAGTTTCCAAAAGCAATTTCTATGAGAATTAAGAGGAGTGGCAATATTACTATGTATTAAAAAGTACATATTCTAATTAGCATAAGCTAGTCTTCTTAAGTTGCTTGTTTGTGATTTGTGTTATCCCCACTTTACTTGAGACAGCATTAAAGCTTTCAAAGAACTATTTTCTATTTCTGGGAACTACAAATGCATGAGTTTGGAACAGACTGGTATCACCCACAATTTAACTTAAAAAAAAGCTCAACAATTCACTTCTTTGAAATACTGTATGGTAGAGAGGGGAAGCTAGCTGTGCTAGTCTGAACTCAGGCAGAAGGTGGAGTGGGGCAGCACAACTAAGTGGTTCAGAGAAGTATGAGCTTTCATAGGTGAAGTAGGTTGTTGCTTATGGAAGTTTTTATGCCTCTTTGAGACAGTTAGTTTCTGAAGTGCCTGCTGTCTGAAGTCTTTGAGAGACATTTCCACCCAAAACAAAATAAACAACTTATCTGAAGAACTGGACATTTTGTTTACCTCTTGGGCTTTATTTGGCATTTTTAATGTAGATTCCACTTGAACATCTGGCAAACTTCTTTACTTTTAATATAGCAGCTGTCAGGATGGCAATGAGAAAGATAAGCAAGTATTTTCAGGTGGAAATAATGCAATAATACATTTCCACAGGAATTATGAGAGAGACATTTTTTCCAGAAGTGTCTATAATAATGGTTTCTAAATGCTTACAGCATTTACTATTCAATTTTGTATTGGCTCATCATCCTGACTTGGGAAAGCCAAGAGACACAAATGGGCAGAGGATATTACCACTGTGTCCCAACACAGAGGGTTGTCAAAGAAAAGGGAATCTCCTTACTATGGAAATCTGAGTATATCCTATGCTGTGATGGAGGAAACTTGTGAAGGAAACCCTGATGAGGAGCCTTTGGAAAGGCAATCTGATAAATTCTTAGGTGTTCAGTTCGTAAGATCTAAGAGGAAAATAAGAGATAGCAGAACCTTTTCCATCCCTAGGTTTTTTTTAAATTTGTTTCGCAACCTCTGTACACTTCTGTCATGGAACAATTATATTTTCTGAGGCAATTCCCCAATGTTTGAAATGTTCATTAAAAAGCTCTGTTACCCCAATATTTTGTGATGGTACTAATCTGAGCCCAGTGTGAAGTGAACTTGTAAATATGTACGACTAAATATTCATTTTTTCTACATGTTTCACATTTTCAGTTGTATGTGAACCTTGCTGGAATATGAGGTACCTAACTTGAATCAGTCAAATTTCTCAGTAGGATCAGCACTTGCTAACTGGATCATACTGTTTCTGACACGGACACTGGTGTTTTGTTGTAGTGTGTATATAAAGAAGCCCAGGTTTTGAAAATTTAGCCCCTAACATCTGGCTTTTCTCTGTGGTTTACTTCCCACAAGCAAAAAACTTTTGTCAATTGATTGGAAATGCGTAATCAAAATCCTTCCTGAGGATGTATTATCCAGAATCTTGGTCTGATAGGGAGGCTTAAAGTATATTCAGGTACTGTATCTTATAGTTTCATAGTTTCTAGAATCAGAAGGGACCTGAGCAGATAATTGAGTCCGACCCCCTGCCATGGCAGAAAAGAGTACTAGGGTCAAACGACCCCAGCAAGGTGTACATCTAGCCAATGAAATGTATATTAGAATCACTGATCTAGTCTGCTTCTTTCATTCAGACCATATATTATCATACTCTTGTCCTGGCTGCTGAACTAGGACAATATTTTCTTAAGCTGGACAGCGGGAGTGACACTAAGGGACATTAAAATCTATGATTTCTCATCAAACTCGTCATCCGGATGTAGTTTCATATAGCATTGTTGAATTAGATATACTTCTTATATGGAGATTATTGAACATGGTTTATGGAGAAAGACTAACATATAAAAGAAAGATTATTAAGGTTAATGAAGTCACAGGCAAGAGAGTAGAAATACAGATTTTCTTTCTCCTATAAAGACAGAAAAGCTTCAATATCTTAATGAAAACCTTATCTTCATTTATCATCTACAAAATACAATGGAGAGATTTATACACCTGAAACAATAAATTAATTCATTCACTTGGAATAGGAACACAATAACTTTACATTTTACAAAACCAAAGCTTTTTTCTTTGTTTTGTCTGTGTTGATCAGTGTCTTTAGCAATGCCATGTCTATGAATGTTTCCAAAATTTGACATAAATACAATTAAAGCCAGGAATAATCTCCTACTTACAATGTGATAGGTCAATCTTTTTCATATGTGGAGAGCTGTCTGATCAGATCTTACCTTCTTTTTCTGCCTCTTTGTATACTTCTGTAATGTTGCTTGGCTCTCTGAAAAATAATTTTTCAATCAAGTTTACTGCAATATATATATTTTAAAAGCAATGCAATAACATCTATTTACATGTGCCTGTTCTTTAAGAATTTTTTACCTTAATGTTAATGAGGGGTTGTTTTTTTTCAGTATCTGTGAAGATAACTTGAGGACAATCTGCTTACCTGAAAAAGTCGTTTCAGATGTACCTTGAATGTTGCTAAGTAGTAGCTACAACAAACCATAACCTTGTTCTTGTAAGAATTTAAAATTTAACTATTTTAACTCAAGGTCATTTGTTACTCATGACTGGTGCACTGAATGAAGCAATTTCTAGTTAACTGCTTGATGCATTACTGGACAGTAATGCACAGGCTGGGGACCAACTAGCTAAGCAGCTGCTCTGCAGAAAAGGATGTGGGGGTTACAGTGGACAATAAGCTGAATACGAGCCAACAGTGCATCATTGTTGTGAAGGCTAAAGGCATACTAGGCTGAATTAGTAGGAGTATTGCCAGCAGATTGAGGGCAATGATTATTTCCTTCTTATCGGCATGGCTGAGGCCACATCTAGACTATTGTGTCCAGGGTTGTCCCCCCCCTACAGAAAGGATGTAGACAAATGTCCAGTGGAGGACAATGAAAATGGTGAGGGGGCTGGTGCACATAACTTCTGAGGAGAGGCTGAGGGAACTGGGCTTATTTAGTCTGTAGAAGAGAAGACTGGGGGGGAAGGGGGGAGGGATTTAATAGGAGCCTTCAACTACCTGAAGGGTGGTTCCGAAGAGGATAGAGCTAGACCAGGGGTGGGCAAAATGTGGCCCGCAGCCCACCAGGCCATTTTATCTGGCCCACTGGGCCCCTAAAAATTTAGAAAATTAATATTTAGCTGCCCCTGGCTGCCTGTCATTCGGCCCTCTATGGCTTGCCAAAACTCAGTAAGTGGCCCTCTGCCCGAAATAACTGCCCGCCCCTGAGCTAGACTGTTCCCAGTGGTGGCAGATGATAGAAAAAGGAGCAATGTTCTCAAGTTGTGGCAAGGGAAGTTTGGGTTAGATATTGGGAAGAATTTTCTCGCTAGGAGGGTAGTAAAACACTGGAAC